AGTTTCTTATTAAAAACCACACTGCTAAGTTTGCAAATAACGGCGCCGGTGGTGTAGTGGTAAGCGTAATTACCTCTCACCCCAGCAGGCCTGGGTTCAATCCTATGGTGTGAACAGACCCTTCTTACTTATTCAAGTTTATTTATTTTATTGTCATTATCAGTGACCAAGCCCCCCACCCCCGTGTCATCCAGTGACGCTACGCCACTGCCTGGGGGTACCCGGAATATATCCGGGTGTAGTCTATTTGGTGAGGCTACCAATCACCTTATCAATTCATATTCAAGCAACTTCCCCGGGGTACCCGGAACATGTCCAAGTGTGTCCAATGTGGTCTGGAACACTTAACACGACTTGCATTGATCTTATTTTTGAATTCTGTAGTAATTTGATGTGTCGCATGATGGTTTTAATACGTTTTCCGTTAAATCCAGCGTGAAGGCCCATATTCACCGGATCTTATTCCGGCCATATCTCCGGAACCGGTCCACCGATTCCAAAACCGTTCAATAGGACCCCAAGACCTATCATTTGACGCCGAGTTTGTCCAAATCGGTTGAGCGATTGCTGAGAAACGTGAGCGCATTCATTTCGTTACATACACACACACATACACACATACACACATACACACGTACACACACACACACAGACATGTTCCGATCTCGTCGAGCTGAGTCGAATGGTATATGACACTCGGCCCTCCGGGCCTCGGATCGATAGTCGGTTTTTCAAGTGATATCTATACCCTTTTTGTAAGAAGGGTAAAAAAAAAGTTTGCAAACACTACCTGCGGTAGAGGTGACTGCCGTAGAACTGATTTTTTTTGCAGTCATTCACTACAGCAAACGACAAAGGGAACTTGACCGAAATGAAAATGTGGAAAAAAATCAAAACGAAACAGAGTGACTAAACGAGAGAGGATTTTTTACGAGAGGGAGCAAATACTGATTTTTCTACCTATTCGTTACGCTGTGCATTTGGAATTATGAATGCGAAAAGTAGCGTGGAGCAACGGATGGTATACGAAGTACCGCACACAAAGGACAGCTTGAAATTGAATGAATGGTTATGTTGACTGCTCATGAAAAAAAGGACAGACAGAAGCCCTGATTGTACTAACTTTCCATAGAAGATTCTTCCGATTTCCAGCGAAAATTTCATTTGACATCCCCCAGAAATCTCTTGCTTCTGGAATTCATTTCCCACATTCTACTAGAAGTTTCTTTCGAATGTTCCATAAACCCTCTGGCTTTTGCTGGAAGACGCTTCCGACCTTCTCCAGAAGTTTCATCCAAGCTACCTTAGGAAGTTTCTTCCGTCTTCTCCAAGGAGTTGTTTTAAAACTTCTACCGGACGTAGCAATCGATTTATCCAAGAAGTTTCTTTCGTCTTCCTCTGGAAGTTTCTCCATAAGCTTCCTCCGATGTTTTTTTTTTATTGACTTGTATTGGAAGGTTTTATCGAGCTTCTTCAAGCCTCCCATGGAAATTACTACTCCTGGAATTTCATTCGGTTTCTGAACTCCAGAAATCCTCTGGATGTTTCATTTCATTTTTTTTTTCCGAAAGCTTCTTTAAGTTTTCCCCAGAAGTTTCCCAATATTGTCTTGGAAGTCATCCGGATGTTTACCGACTTTTCTTTGAATTTTCCTCAAATTTCCTCCAGAACTAGGGAGACGACACATCTTATTCTCAATCCTATGCTACACGTAAATCTCACGGTAGCTAATCAATCTAAGAGAAACTTTTTTTTCATTTCACGCATCTAAATCAATGTCCTTCCATCGCATTCCATCATCTGCTGGAAATCTACAGAATCTTCATCAATCTTCTTACCATCTACTCATCGCGAGCGCATCTAACGACAGCAAAACAAAATCTTCCCTGCATTTTCGATAGAGTCGTCCACTTCGCTCCAGTAAAGCTGTTTTCTTCTTTATCTGGAAGACTTTTTGGCTTCCTTCATAAGCCAATTCAAACATTCCCCGAAAATTTCTTCCTGAAACGTAAATTTTCCGTTCTTAGTTCAAAAGTTTAGTTTAGTAGCCCATCCTCCAGCAGGCATAAAACCTCAACATCTTTTATTAAATTACAAAAAAAGTTCAACGATATTTTCACATGACACGAGACATCTCCAGTGAGTTTGCACTCTTTTAAGGATATGAGGTTATGAAAGCTTTTTCTAATATTTATACAGATAGGCAGTAAGGTATTTTCTAAGGACGATTGTCGGTGTACAGTTCAACAGATGAAGGGGACAGTTGCTAGTGAACGGAACGTGGACTGCGATGAATCGGCCAGACGTCGAAGGTATATGATGCCAAGCTAAGGATGTCGTAGTGAAGCAGGGCCGGTGGGAGCGTCGAATCAGCTAGACATTGGAAGCTTAGGATATCATGCTGACAGAGAGTTGGTGATCAATCAGACCGAAGGGCAGATGATGGCCGCTGGGAGCGTTGGAACAGCTAAACGTCAGGAACGAAGGATGCCAAGCTAACATTGCGGATCTGGAACCATTTGTTGTACAAACAATTAGGGGCGCAGTATCACTGACGGCTTCCGCCAAACATATACCAGTCAAAATTACCTGATAGAGAACTGGTGATCAACCAGACCGAAGATGATGGCCGCTTGGAGTGTCGACTCAGTTACATGGATTCCATGCTATCAATGTTGCCAAAAGAGGTTGATATTCAAACCGATCGAAGGACAGATGAGGGCTGGTGGGAGTGTCGACTCCACTGACAGAGAACTGGCGTGCAACCAGACCCAATATGATGGCCGCTAGGAGCATCGAATCAGTCGGGGGGCGTAGAATGCCATGCTATCAATGATGCTGACAGAGAGCTGATGTTCAAACCGATCGAACGGCAGATGAGGGCCGGTGGGAGCGTCGACTCCACGAGACGTCGAAATCGTAGGATGCCATAGATGCCAAGTTAGCGATGTCACCGAGAAGCAGATATTGCGAATCTGGAACTATTTGTTTCACGAACCATTAGGGGCGTTGTATCACCAACCGGTGGAAACTAACGATTTTAAATTGGCTCACTACTTGACTAACCTATTGGTCCCAAGCAAATCGATTAACGTACCCCATTCTAGTTGAAATTCTAGTACTACACTGTTTGTTTTGATTCGCTATGAAAGTTTGACAGATGAAATGAGGGGTTCGTGAATTTTCCTATGTTTCGAGAGGTGCATCGATTAGCTTGAGACCGAAGAGGGTACCAGAGCTGAGCCAAAATGTTGAGCACGTTTCTTCGGGACCTTCTGGTCTTAGAGTTACCTCTATGGTATCACTGGCGGCTTCAGCCAAACATATACCAGTCTAAGTTACCTGTCAGAGACCTGGTGATCAACCAGACCGAAGATGATGGCCGCTTGGAGTGTCGACTCAGTTACATGTCGGGGCGTAGGATGCCATGCTATCAATGTTGCTGACAGAGAGCTGATGTTCAACCCGATCGAAGGACAGATGAGGGCCGGTGGGAGCATCGACTCCACTAGACGTCGAAATCCTAGGATACCTTGGATCCCAAGCTGACAGAGATCTGGTGTTGAACCAGACCAAAGGACAGATGAAGGCAGCTGGGAGCGTTGACTCAGATAGACATCGGAAGCGTAGGATCATAGAGGTAACTCTTAGACTAGAAGGTCCCGAAACAACGTGCTCAACTTTTTGGCTCAGCTCTGGTACTATCTTCGGTCCCAAGCTATTCGATTCACCCCTCGAAACATAGGAAAACCCAATAACCCCTCATTTTATCTGTCAATTTTTCATAGCGAATCAAAACAAACATAACGTAGTACTAGAATTTCGACTAGAATGGGGTACGTCGTTTGTTTGGGACCAATAGGCTAGTCAAGTAGTGAGCCAATTTAAAATCGTTAATTTCGTCACAGGCAAACAGACGTAACACTTCATTGTGTATCTTCGTTCACGCATTTAACGGTTGATTTGAATATTATCAGTTCCGCGAACTACTCGCTGCAGCGCTGGCATCGGATCACTTTGACGTTTCTATACATTCTATAGAACTTTTATGCAATATTGTTTGCGAGTTAGCGAGCAATCTTGTTTTCCGCGATAAGCCAGAGAGATGTCGTTACTGAGGTCCTATGTTTTAAGATACTATGTTTTCAAGAAAAACTTTTTCAAAGTGTTACGTCTGTTTGTCTGTGGTCTCGTATTGATTGTTGGTAGGACGCCAAACCATCAATCGTGTGGATCTGGAACCATTTGTTGGACAAACCATTAGGGGCGCAGTATCACTGGCGGCTTTGGCCAGACATATACCAGTTTTAGTTAACTGGCAGAGAACTGATGTTCAACCAGGCCGAAGGCAAGATATGACCGCTGGCAATTTACGTCAACGTAGATAGTGGGAGATACGAAGCTTTAGATGTCGTTTGATGTTCGCCTTGAACAAATCGATGGATTACTGTTGGGATCTCGTTGTACCGTATACAAACATGGTAACCAAACCGTTTTTTTCCGAGTTCTGAATGCTACCGTTGAATCTACTGGATCTTTCTGAGAGGTTCATTGTGGCTGTCATGTTGTGATGTGTAGCTGGATTAGGTTACAATGTTATGCATGTGTGTTATTGTCTGCAACACTTGAAGTCCTCGAATGGGTAAAAGCGAATTCTGCAGATCATTGTACAGCTGTTCCGTTGGGTAAAGGTGCGGTTTTTTAAAGATGACTTTCAAGCAACGGTTTTGTAGTACCTGAAGTTCTCGTAGCATGGACATGCTTGCGGTTCCCCATAAACCCTCTAAATATTGTAGTAGAAGTAGATTCCCAACACACAATTTTTGCTGCAGAACAGTTTATACAATTGGCTTATACAGCTAATTGTTGCTTGAAAAAGATGTTTTGCTCCTAAAATTGCTTGAAGGGTTAAGCTGTCACATGCACCATGACTCCTCAAAAGCCACTCAAATCAACGCCGAGCGACCAAACCTAAACCCAGTATAACTCCTTCTTTCAAGCATCCCAACGTTTTGGACGTTTCCGAACTGCTCCGACCGGAGAAGACCTTCGCCGACAAGGATGTGTCCAAGTTCCGCGACTACACGGTGGACGACAATGATCCGCTCAAAGAGCGCGTTCGCAGGACCTACAAGCTGATGCATACCCATCAAACGGTCGACTTCGTCAAAGGTAAGTACCTATCTAGTAAGTGCGCAAGTGTGTCGTAAATCCGACACTCCGAGCTGATAGCTTCCCATCGTAAATCAATCAGAAATTTCCATTAGATTGCAAATTATTCGTGTAAACGGCTCTCGAACAACTTAATGACGCTCTTTACGACCCCCGTGGAGGATTGTTTGAAAAGTCGCGCTCAGAGGTTATCAGTCAATCGCCGATCCGTCCAAGCCCATCGAATCGAGTCAATAACGGCACGTACGGTGGTTCTGTTGTTCGACCTGTTATCGAAGGCTGTAATTCAGCATCACATCTCTTCGACAAAGTAGAAATTCCAATATAGATCCACGTGATAACGGTTGCAGTTTTTTTTCAAACTACGCGCAATTTCAAACTCAAAACAAAATAACATTCTGCGTAGATAACGCATAAGTACACACCTTCATCGTTGGAGCTTATCGCTTCGATAAGATTCCAACGTGAAATAGGTCACAAAACTAAAACAAAAACACGCTCAACCTTCCATATCACATTATTCTAGGTCGTCATGAAGAGTGGCTGAAGTTCGATCACCTCAAGGTCAACATCCGGGATGCGCTGGAAAAGTTGAACGACCTGGTCGACGAATCCGATCCGGACACGGACCTGCCGAACATTGTGCATGCCTTCCAGACGGCGGAACGTGCCCGAGAAGAGTACCCGGAATGGGACTGGTTGCACCTGACGGGTCTGATTCACGACCTCGGCAAGGTTATGGCATTCTACGGCGAACCACAGTGGGCCGTCGTGGGAGATACCTTTCCGGTGGGGTGCGAATGGGGGCCGAGCATTGTTTACCGGGAGGACAGCTTCGTCGATAATGTCGATGGAACGAACCCAAAGTACAAGTAAGATCTACGAGTGTTCATTACGGCTGGGTAGAATTTAATAAGCCTTTTCTTTTTCGCAAAAATTCCAGTACCAAGTGCGGAATGTACAAGCCAAAGTGTGGACTGGAAAACCTGACCATGTCGTGGGGCCACGACGAGTACCTCTACCGGGTGCTGAAGCACAACAAGAGCACGCTGCCGAAACAGGCACTGTACATGATCCGTTATCACTCTTTCTATCCTTGGCATTCGGGTGGAGATTATGGCCACCTCACCCTGGAGAAGGACGAGAAAATCAAGAACTGGGTGCTGTTGTTCAAGTGAGTATAGTTAATGAATTCCGGAACCAATCAAACGATTGTAATTGTAATTGTAATTGTTCAGTGCATAGGCTGTGCCTTCCGCTAAGAAGGCTTATCTAGGGACCAACCCCCTAGTCTATACACCTACTGTCCTTCCCGTTGCACTCGTCAGCTCGTGCGATACTCTAGACACACATGGGTGGTCGTATCCGGGTCCTCCCCTGGGTAGGCTCGTGTCCGTCCAGGTTCTGGTACATTAACTTATCTATATGCATGGTAATTATACTTTTAAAACTCACCTTTTGATTATAATGTCGAAAATGCTGAAACTAAATAAAGGTTAGCGATCCATATAAGGTGTGTGCTGCGACGGAGTAGTAATTGAAGGAAATGAGGTTCTGATGTGAAGTATAGGTAATTCTAAAATAGGTAAATCAATTAATCATTAGCTGCAAACAGTTACTAATAAATGGGTACGATAAATCACTCATCAATGAGTATTGCCACTCCCACTGACAAATGGGCATAACCTTAATCATAAATGGATATTCGATTCCTACCGTGTATTTAAAGTAAAGTTAGGATCTTATCAAGCAAGCACACACCTTTTACGATTCTTATCCTACTTACGGTTTCCTGCACATACAACTTTTCCTGGATACAAGCTTCGTCCAGTATACATTGGCTGTCTCCAACCGGCATGATCCTTTCTGTCTGCTTCCTCTTGCCGGTGCAAGTTTAATTCTTCTTTTCTTGTTCGTTTCTGGTTTCTGGTCGTGTTCCCATTTGTCCTCAGGCAGTTAATATTAGTACATGATAGGAAGAAAGAAAGAAATAGAACAAGTTAAGTGTGAGCCGCATGCATTGGTTACTTATTTGGGTCATGGTGTTGTCTTCCCTATTTATTTGCCCTAGTCGCTCTCATATCGAACGTTTAACTCTGGATCAACAATAGAAAAGGGCCCATCAGCATTTGTAAACAAACCGCTCCAAAGCCCCCCACTCACAAAGCGAAGGCCACCCACGCAAACCAACACCATCATCGGATAGGGAAAACTTCCACCTACACGAAGACGGTGTTGGTCTGCGTGAGCAGCCCCCGATCTGTGAGGAATGGGCTTTGGACGGTTTGCCCACAAAAACCGATGGGCCCCCTTCCATTGTTGATCCAGAACTCACCCCCTTCCCTCACACTATTATGGTCGGAAAAGAGAACCCATATTTAGGAATCTATCGCGAACTGCGATGCAGAAGATATTAATAGCAAACTAATCTGGAACTGGTCTAAGACATATGACCCAGTGAGCATTGACACCTCACACTGTTGTGAATGAGCACGGACGCGAGATTTACTAGAGTATTAAATGCAAAACGCAAATTCAAAATAAAACTTGACAAGACATCGTCAATCCCCTTATTCTTGGGCAGGGTCTGACGATGTGAATCTGATTTTGATCAGTGAACGGGCCCCATATGGTACATTTTCTCACTATGAACCTGTCATTTCCAGCCTATCTGAACTATTTAATAAATGGAAACCATAACATGGGTTACGCTTCCCCTAAGCGGGCCCTCCGCATCCTATCTCTGTCTTATCTCAAATGCCAATGGTTTGAATGTATCAATATATACATTGGAAATGACGTTCAATCAAATAAACCCATACCCCACTCACTTGGCCAGGCTTCAGAATCGTCCAGTGGGCAGTGCGCTCTACACTCCAAGTTCCCTTTATTTCAAATTCACCCTAAATTTGATATTTTACCCCTTTGAGTGTTGATTAATCACAATGAAACATTGTGACAGAGCACGGACTTGAGGTTACTAGAGTATTAAATAATCTAGGTCCTATTTAGGATTATATCTGAAAAATCCAAATTTGGCCAACGCCCACCAATTCCGGAACCAATCAAACGATGTTTAAAAATAACTATTTTGCAGCCGGTATGATTTGTATACCAAGAGTACGACGAAGCCGGATATTGATGCCCTGTGGCCCTACTATCAAGGATTGATCGATAAGTATTGTCCGGGAGAACTGGAGTGGTGAGAAGTGTTTGGAAAGATGCATCTTATTGATTATTGTTATTGGAAACCGATCTGTACTCAATTAGCGTAAGTGTACGGTTATTATCTTGTTATATTGATAAATTAGACTCTAAGTTGACAGTCCTACATTTAAGATAACACGGAAGAATTTTTATTTGAACAAAAAAAACATTGCTGTGAACGGCTTATTATGTATCTACTTACTATGGTATCAAAAAATATATGAGCAAAATACTACATCCCAACTATCCGTTCTGAAGAATTCCTTTCCCCTTCACCGTCAACCTTCCTTTCTAGATTGACCAATGTTTCTCAATCGACTTGAACTGGGAACAATGGGGTGGGTTGAGATCTGTTGGAACAAATTAGGCCCCGTTGAAGCTTATAAATTTGATCTGGCCAGAACATGACGGTGCCCTTGTGAGAACGGGTGAATGTTAATAAACGCTACTGGAGACATTCCTTTTCGTAAATTCCGTGATGAACCCTTCATTCTTCTGACCTCAAACGAAGTGTGTGGTTTTACATTTCAATTGGTTAGCCTTTGGCTCTTCAACTTTGTTCTAGTTAATTGGTTATTCTAATGTGATGATTGCATTTAGCGTTAATTTACAGGATACCCTTTTAAGGGCTTGTTTCCGTTTGAATTTAAAAATTTGATAACCTACCTACTTGAGCACAGAAACATACCAAGCTAGATAGGTTTGATCGCAGACAGGCGACTCTGAACCTTTCCAGCGTGGACGTCTTTCGCTCCTCGAGTGTTTGAAGACCGGCCAGGCTCAGAATTACGAGTTCGTGGTGAACTGTTAAGGATCTTTCTGAGGATCTTGTTTTGGATGCTCTGAAGCTTTAGGTAGTGGCACTTAGCACAACTCTCCCAGATTGGCATACCATACTCAATGCATACCAGCAGAATGATTTGCTTGTGGACAGCAAGCTTGTTTTTGAGGGACAGGGTGGACTCTGTTTATCAGAGGGTAGAGCGACCTGATCAAGATGTTACACTTGGTGGATGTCTTGTCCACATGGGATCGAAATAGCAATTTGCTATCGAGGGTGAGACCAAGGTAGACTTCTTCACTCGACCATTCAATGGGAGTGCTATCAAGGTGGATCTTGACGTTAGCAGGCGGAACAAGCCGAGGTGGAAACAGAATGGTTTGTGTTTTAGCTGCATTGATACAAATCTTCCAGCTCTTAAAATAGTCGGACAAAACATCCAGGCCTGATTGTAGTTTACTCGCCTGAGCATAGATCACTCAACCCTTATAGATGATGGAGGCACAGACAAACAGACATAACTCTCGCTAGTTGTTCATCGAACAAGCATTTAAAGGTCAATTTAAAAGTGTCGTAATTGGTAGTACCTGTGGCGCGCATAGTCATTTCCCTTGAGTTTGACGTTTACACACTACCGCCATCTGTTCAGCGTACTACCCACCACAGTGTACTCAACAGATGGCGGCAATGTTTCAGCGACGATGTTTTACAGTAAGAAATATTCAATTAGTTATGTCTGTTTGTCTGTGATGGAGGTGTCATCTGCGAACATTGACTGACATGAAAATGTTGAATAGGATAGGCCCAAGCAGGTTACCCTGAGGGACCCCTGAATCAACGTTGAACGTATTAGAGGGGACATTGTTCGTAGACCTGGAATGATCTGCCCGACAAGTAGTTTTTGATGATCTTCACGAGGTAGATCGGAAAGTTGTATCGATGCAGCTTGTACACTAGACCATCATGCCAGACATTGTCGAACGCCTTCTCGACGTCCAACAATGCCATGGCAGATGTATTGGAAACGGACTTGTTCCGCTTGATGATGTTAGTAGCGCGTGCGAGTTGGTGGATGGTAGAGTGGCCTTTCCTAAACGCGAATAGCTTCGAGATGGAGGACAAGAGGCTGATGGGGCGATAATTTTTTGGCACTGGTGGGATCTTTGCCAGGCTTGTGTATTGGAATCACTTTGGCTAACTTCCAGCATGCAGGGAAAAAGCCAAGCTCCAAACATTTGTTGAAGATAACGGTAAGATGGTTGAAGAAGTCAATACTCAAGTTTTTCAACTCTATGTTGACTACACCATCCCTACCCGCGGCCTTCATGTTTTTAGTGCATCCAATAGCTGCTATCACCTCATCAGCCGATATTCTACTAACATCATGCACTACTACGGGGGTGTCAGCGACGATAGACATTGCCTCCAGTACGGCAGGCTCATGGGGGCTCACCATAGTTTGACCAAGATTATGTGAAAACACAAAATGTTGGCCAAGAGCAATGGCCTTTTCAACTGGGGTTATGAGTAGTTTCTGGTCAACAGAGGAAAGCGGAGGGATCGGTCTGGACTTATTTTTCAAAATTTTGGTCATCTTCCAAAATGGTTTTGCACAATCTGAGAGAGAGAGAGCAAAGTCGTTATTTCTGAGTTCCACCATCCTGGCCTGGATAATTTTGGTTAGCCTTTTGACATTGGTCTTCAAATGGGGCAGCCCGGAGCGCTGGAACTGCCTACGAATGGTGTTACGGAGCCTGATAAGATCTTTGGTTGGCACGGGATATCGCCTCTTCGATGGCTTGCAGACACTGATCGACTTCTTCGAACGACTCCGGTAGGACGTCGTAATCGATTGCTCACACAGCGCTGATACTGCTGCCAGTTGACACGATGGTAATTTCGCCGGGAAACTTGAAACCTATTGGCCGAGGAACCTACTTCGGTCACCACCGAATAGTGGTCCAAGCTCAGTTCCTGATAGGCGATAGGTTGATAGATGTTATCGCCGATGTTGCTGGTGAAGATGTCGATGGTGGCATGAGCGCCGGATCGACTCAACCGGGTGGGAGTGTCCGGACACAGAATGTTGTAGTGGGCTTCCTGCAGATCGTTGTACAAGATTGTGCCGTTCTGGTTTCGCCGACTATTGCCCCAGGCTTGATGCTTGGCGTTCACGTCACCAGCGATGATGAAATTTTGCCGCCGTCGTGTTAGCTTGATGATGTCTCTTCGGAGGTCTACGGCCGAGCCGTCCCTAATGTTGGTTTGCTTGGGGGCAGTAGACCGCGATGATGGTGATTGGACCAAGCGATGTGCTCACCTCAACCCCAATGGCTTCGAAGGTTTTCAGCTGGAAGCTTGGTAGTAGCTGGCAGCTGATGTTCCGTCTCGCAGCGGTGGCCACTGCCCCTCCCCCGGAGCTGGTGCGGTCAAGCCTTACGAGCCGAAAGTCGGGAAGTAAGACGTTCAGCTCGGGCTTCAAGTGAGTCTCGGTGTTGACGGCTATGTCGATGTGCCGTTCGTTGAGAAAATCAACAAACTCGATGGTTTTGCTCTTCAAGGAGAAGGCATTCCAATTTACGATCTTGATGGCTTCACGGTCCATACTTAGTGACAAGGGACAGGGCATCATGTAGCTGTTCAGATCGAGTCTTGCAGGTGCGCATGATGATGATGACCTCGGCCACGAGCGTCACAAGTTCCTCCGAGGTTAACGGAGAATCATCGCCAGGCTCACATGAGACAACACCAGCGTATGATAAACCAGGTACGGTGGATGAACCTGGAATTTGCTGGGCCGCAGCAGCAGCGAGACTGTTGGGAACCATTTGTATACTCGCAGGATTGGCTTGTTGGTTGTTGAGTGGAAGCGGGGCTAGGTTCGGAACATGTCGACGGGGCTGGATAGCTGGGTACTGGACTTCCGTGAGTACAGGAGGCGAACGATGATTACGGAGGCGACCGAGCTGGTTGTTGATTGTAGCCTTCCGACGGATATTAATGAACTCCACTCGCTTGGGACATCCGCGATTGGAGGCTTGGTGGTTTCCACCGCAGTTGACACACGTTGGCTCGATGTCATCATCTTGCTCACAGGACGTAGTTGAGTGACTTCCAGCACACTTGCCGCAGTTTGTCTTCATATGGCAGTTTTTGGTGCCATGGCTATAGAAGAGGCAGTTCATACACTGCGTTACATCACGATGTTGAGGTTTGTATTGCTTCCAATTGATGATGACCTGAAACAGGTCCCGGATTTCAGATCTCAGAGCCGCAAGACTGGTGGATTCCTTCGTGAAGGTCACCAGGAACAACTGGTCACGGAAGCTGGTGTTGTGGTTGAAACGCCGGTTCATGGGGTACACTGCCTCAGGCTTGAGCCCAAGCCGAACGCAACGCTCGATGGCAACGTTGTTGTCCTTCAGGAAACATCCTATTTGTTTGTACTCCTCCAGGCTGGAGCACATGATTTTGGTACCGATGCTGCAAAGCTTGAAGCGAGGCAGCAGCTTGTGTTTTGCCAGTTCGGCACCCAGCTTGGCAACATCCTTCACCGGGGTGAAAAGCGGGGGAATCCACTATCTTCTTGCAATGGGAACGGCGTCACCACCGGGAGTACTGCATATTGGTTGGCTTGCCGTACCCGTTTTCCGGCGTCATTCTGCGACACGCTGGGCTTGATTAGCACCATCTTTGAAGGGCTCACTGCTGTCTCATTGGCACGTTTACGCACCATTTGTTTCGTGTTTGCAAGTTCAAGTAAACTTGCCAGGACGCGAGGAGGTGGCGACACTTCCATGGCCCAACGCGACCGCACAAAACGAAACAAAATCGAAACGATAACTCGAGCGAAAATACAGACTGAACAGCTCAACAGTCGAGCAAAGAATCTCTACCTGTATTTAGCTGATGAAGGTGAATGAATAGAAAAAAAGCTACACCGTGAACATCTGCAGCAAACAATGTCGAGGTCGACACGTCCAACGTGCAACGCTGAATGATTATGCGGCTTTGGCTTGTGTTGTTAGGGGCCAACTTTCTGATGACTGTGTTAGGGGTGTGACACATTGCGGTCGAAGAAAATGTATGAGAAATTTTATGATTCTATATTTCTTAATTTTTAGCTATTTAAATATTTAACATTTATAATGTGTGACATACCACACACATGTTTATAAAACTGCCTAATCGATCGAGATACAAATCATCAAAATCCATTGATTATTGGACAAGTTATTAATATTTAAAGTCTAACCAATTTTCGTTGCATTACCCCGGATTGGCACCCTTCCCGAAAGACGTAGTCGTACGTCATAAACTGATTCTTTTAGATGTTTGATTTCCAATGTTTTTAGAAAAATCAAACGTTTTTTTATTCGGAGCAGCTTACCGCTCCCGTAAGTACAAATAGAAATACACTTTTACAACCTACCTTAAAACCGGTAGATCGGCGACCAGTCAACCAACAACGGAGATGTGATATGAAATAATTCCCCATCCATGGACTTAAATTTATACGTTTACTATTAACATTATTCACACTAGCCAAAAAAAAAAACAAACTATTTTTAGTCAGATTCCCACTCACTCTTCTCCCTGTGCTCCTTCCGGTGGTGCCTCGAGGAAATCGAGGATGATCGCGACGATTTGCTGCGTTTGTGGCTCTTCTTTTTGCTCTTCTTCTTCTTCATTTTTTTCGTATCCTTCTCCACCGGGGACCTACTTCTCGACCTCCTCAGGCTTTTCGATCTACTTCTGCTGCGCTTGCGTTTCGACTTCGACCGACTTTTACTGGGCGTTCTGCTGCGACTTCTGCTGTCAGACTTTTTCTTCTTGGATTTCTTACTTTTGCTCTTATGTTTATGCTTTCGCTTCTTCTGTTTGCTGCTGCTCGAAACCGATTTGGATCTGGTTCGCGATCGGGATGGTCTATCTCCGCCGTTATCTTCCGCCACGAAAACCACATCGTCATCGGCACTGCTAGGTGCCGCACTGTCGCTACCGGATGGAACCGAATGTACCGACAGGTCCGAACTATCGTTGCTGCCATCTTCTTCGGCTGCTTCTTCGTCGCCGTCGTCGTTGTCGGAGAATTGGGTTTTCAACTGCTCAAGACCGTTCTTAGCAGCGGCGGTGGAGGCGGAGGCGGTTGATGGTGGCAGTTCCGGTGTTGGCGGTGTGGCTTCCCGCGCTTCCTTCTTGGCCGGAGGGGGCTCGTCGCAAGCGCTATCCGGCCTGGAAGGTTCGTTTTTGGTGATCAAACTGAGGAACATGCTGGCTTTCTTCTTTCGCTCTAACTGCAGTTGCTTTTCCTTCGCGATCGACGCCAACCTTTCCCGAGCCGCAACTGCCAGCTTGTCTTTGATCCGATCCTCCAGACGTTTCTGATCCTTGGAACCAGCGTCGACGGCGCCGTCTGGGCTGGTGCTGACAGGTTTGCAGTCTTCCAAGGGCGGAGTGGTACTGTTAGGGAAAGAAGCGTGATAAAGGTTTTAGGTTGCTACCGAGTGCCAGTCGACAATGATAAGCACAACAGTTTTTGGTATGGACTTACCTTTTCAATTCCTCAACCGGTTGCACCAGCACTGGCGAAGCGGTAGGTGGAGTAGTAGTGTCTTCCTCCACTGGGGTCATCTCCTTCTCCACCGATTTCTCCTTAATCTGAGGAGGATCTTCGCTGGCATGTACTGGCGATTTGCTTTTCTCCTTCTCCTGTTCCTTCACCACCGGCTCTGCCTCTTCCTCATCCCCACCCAGTTCTTGCATCACGTTCGATTTCAACGCAACACTGGCGTCATCTTTGCTCTTGATCGAAAAACACACCGCTCCACCCGGTTTGTTGGCCTGGATCTGCGACTGCGGTGCCGGCACCGGAACCGGCGCCGTGTTAACAGTCTTAATTCCGATGCTAGGCGTTTCCACCACCGTTCCGTTCTCTATTTCTCTGGTTATGGTAACCTTTTCCGGACTCTTGGGTACCTCTTCGAACGGGTTGATTAGATACCGCACCCGAAAAGCGTAGAAAGGATAGAACTCGTGATCTTTCCGAAGGAACAGGAACCGAGGATCATTTTTCGTTCGCAAAGCTTCCTCGAAACTGTACCCGTTCTTGGCCACATACGTGGCGGTCTTTTCGATGACGTGTTGGAAAATTTCCGGCGGAAGAGCACCACCAAAGGTGATTTCCCTCTTCTCTATTTCCGGTTCCGGTTTTTTGTCTTTCTTCTCCTCTTCGTCGCTTCCACTCTCCTCGCTGTCAGAATCGTATTGCACAAGCCCCGCCAGGCCGGTGGAAACCTTCTTCACTTCGACGGTTTTTCCCTCCTGAACTATCTCGACCTCGGTCTTCGACGACGTCATCTGGGTGGGATTCAGTGGAACGGTAGGAGATTCTGGACTCGATGCACCGGAAGAATCTTTCGTCGGAATCGGAGCACCAGTGATTTTACTGATCAGCTGCGTATAGGCGCAATCGATCGACGGCTTGTACTTGATGGCTGGAACGATCACTTTCGGTTTCTCTGGGGAAGCTTCGGCGGCCGTCAAAGAAGCTTCCGCAGCTTCAGCTCCCTCGGTGCCGTTTGCATCTGTGAAAAAAATCAATATTAGAAATTTGTTCCTTCGCAAGTTTAGTCAACACAAACCTTCTTCCGGGACATCCTCCGGGTACTGGTTGGTCTTGATTGCCATCAGCACGTGCCGATAGTACCGATACAGCCGCCCTCCGGGACATAGGAAATCGAACTGCGGATTGGCGGCCTGTTTGGCCCGGAGCAGGATCTCCATTTGCGAGTCCTGCGAGGCGATAAATCTGGCAGTCTTTTCAATGATGGCATGCTCCTTCATCGTTTCCGGTCGGTCCAGATCGGTCGGGATTTCAAAGTTGACCGGCGCGACGAACGGTGGATCGGAACTGTTTTCGTCGTCGGGTGCTGCGGGTTCCGGACCGACGATGGTTGCCCCCGCCGATGGTGGGGCATCGTAGTCGAAAGCGATTTCGGCACCGCTGGCAGCTTGCCGTTTGGCTGCTTCCTCTGGATTATGGAGAAACAAAATGGAAATGGTTGCGGGTCAGAGGGAAGTTTCACTAGGAGGAGTCGGTATGATTTTTATAAAGTTTTGAATGCCTAATAGACATGAATGAACGGGAACGTTTCGCAGATTCAGACACCCTAATTATCATTTAAAAAAGCAACATCCTGCTAGATCCTTGCACGATTTCAGCAATTATCGTAATTTTTGTTTGTGGATCTTCCGAGATCACGTACTTTAAATTCGAAGCATAAATGTTGCACTAGAAACAGAAATCTAAATCCGAATCATCGGTACCATCGTTTTTGTTGAACGCAGGATCAATGTAAAATCACACGACTTCTTCGACATGGGTGATGTGCTTTGTTTTCGATCCTACTAATTAAACTCACCCTGTTCGATCTCCTCCTCGACCTCGTTGATGTAGAGGCTGTGGTAGCGTTCCTCTTCGCATAGCTGCTCGGCACGTTGCTCGGCCGGCGAAAGGCAATCCAGCCGGTTCCCGTAGCCTCCGAGCGGGGGTTCGTGCTGCGACAGGTCATGCAGTGCTCCCCGGGCGTCGTATCTACGCCGGTGACGGATGGCAAGAGAACGGACAAAGAGAGAGAAGAAAGGAAAAAGAAAACAAAGCAAAGATTAGACCGGTCGATAGAAGCGAACGGGCTGCGCGTTTGGTGGTTCAGCGTGCTTGGGGGCGAGCTGAAAGAAAGACTACTCCGGCTGGATGATGGGGTTGGCCCCGGAGTGTTGAGTTTTGAGCATCAATAGCGCGCGAAAAAAGTGGAGGCACCCCTTCATCCAGCCGGGTTTTTCTCTGGTCGAAAACGAAAAATTATAAACATGTTGTAAAAATAGTAAATCTAATTACCACTTATACATACCACAGCCGCGCTGGAGTCGGAACGGTTTATAGTGAGAATATCTGAGCTAAAAAAAGAGAGGCCCTGCTTTTTGGTTTGCTTCTTTGGTTTGAAATGCTTCGTTTATCTGTATCGGGTTTTGGTTTGATTTTTTTTTAGATAAACAACTGAGTTAGTTGCATTTGTGTGGATGACGAGTGCTTCCAAGTGCACCTTTTTGGGTCGGTCACTTGCACTCCGAGCTGTTTTCGCTTATCTAAATAGCAGAAGAAAAGCTACTCTTGTACTGTTATCAAGCGTGATCCGCGGCTGGAGAGCTAAATACAGAGAAACGTACAACGCATAACGATTTGTCCCGCCCAATCTAGGACGGATTTCGGATAAACGATTGCTACTGGAAGGGGCTCGAATGTTTGCTTTCAATCTAAACGGAGTTAAATTTTGCCAGACTTCTGACGCAAAGCTTTTAGACAAAATATAGATTAGGACATTCGAGCCTCGTTCTCTCTGCAACCTGTAGACTACAAATGCTACGTCTCTCAATCTCTCTCAGTTGCGCTAAAAACAATGATTACATAAATTGCTGCTAGGTAGGAAGGCTTAATAATCGTTCAATTAAGTGGCATTGGAAAGTTTTTTTTTGTTTGTTTGTTTGTTTTTGATTTGGCGGAAAGAAAAGAAATTATTAACCTGTCAATCTTCAACTGATTGTCGCCCATCCACGGGATCAGATGCCGGCCCTGATCGATGAAGCGAGCCTTCTCGTCGTCTCGGAAAACCTTGCACGAATAGCCAAACACCAGCAGGTCGGCAAAGTTGTCATGGTGCTGGTAAGAGGGATGATGCGGGTTGAAGTGTGCTCCGACCATCCCGCCCGGTTTGCGCAGGATCCCCGACTCGCCGTTGATCATTCCTCCGGTGCCGCTGCTTCCGGAACTCATGCCGGCAGCGCCACTCTGTTCTCTAGCTCCCAAGCCACTTCTCAAAGCAATGTTCGCTGACCACCGGTTATCGTTCATGGTTCATGGTAGTAGTTCCAAAAGTTCAGTTCCAGCTGAACGCTCGCTCTCTCGTCCGTACCACCTAACACCAAAACACAGCCTCCAGACAAAAAATTCTCGTTTTGGAGGTTAGCTTTCTGCTCTTAAACTATTGCACGAAAATCGCACCGGAATTCACTGCCCCAGGAAAACCTTTACTTTCTTCTGCGGAAGCACAACTTGCTTCGCCAGATGGAACCACTTTTGCACGAAAAACTATCAATTTTACCCAGAAAAAATAGATTTTCCTTCCGATTTGCAAGGAATTTTCACTTTTTTCGCACTTTGATGCCTTTTTTTTTATTGGATATAAGAAAAAATGGCAGAAGCCAAAGTTTGAAAGGTCCAATAAGAACCGATTCGGCGTTGAATTGCACCACCTGGGGCCATACTTGAACCGTTTCGAGAGTGCGGGGGTGTTTTTGTTTTTCGTTGGTTTTTTTGTTGTGTTTCTCATTCGCCGGTTTGATGCGTTTTGTTTTATGATTGACATTCGCGAGACCATCACGCGAGTTCGACCCTGTGCTGACATGACGCTCATGATACAGAACTGTCACAAGGTGAAAGCTGTCAAATTTTTGCACTTCGCGTTGGTTTCTGTTTGAAGGTGATTCGCTGATTGCAGTTTTAAGTGAAATTTTACCGAATAAATCGCTCTGAATCAGGTAATTTATTGCTTATTTTGGAGATTAGTGGTTATTTTTTAGAATAAGTGTGGAATTAGCGTTTAATTCGTGGATTTTCCGACGGAAACGGTCGATTGAAAGTACGTCCTCACGAGAGGTGATTTTCTGTAATGGCGGTCTTTGTGTTTTTGTGGCACAACAAAAAGATAGCACTAGCGCTATGCACGTTGGTGCTGCTGTGAAGCCTTGAGGAACAAGGAAATCAGAGCAAGACCAAAGTTTTCAGCAAGCTGAACAATAACTTATTGTAATTTATTTTGGCAAACGAAATCCTGGTGGATGAACTTTTTCTTAGGACAAGGAATGTTATTGTTTGTGAAAATATTCGAGAGGGCTTGGATAGTAAATACGTTCACTGCATTTTTATGCCATGTTAAGTTCAAGTCGTTCTCAACCTGAATTGGTTCTAGGATAACAAAGTTGTTTTTGCTATATTATCAAGTAATAATGTTGACGAGTCTGCAAGTTGTATTCCCGGAATTTATCAAGGATTGATTGACCCTCGCGAAAACCAGCCGTGCCCTTCATCCATTTGTCGTAAGCACTTACAAATCACCCACATTTCTTGTATTTATCTAAATGTCTGGAACTGCATCATTTCGATCTTCTCAACAATACTGGCTAAACATTTAAACCTTCTCTTCCACAATCAATAAAACCGAACAGTGGATTAGGTCCTAAGTAACATTGACAGATTATCTTCGTCGATTTTCTCTTTGGGAGGATGCATAAATGACGTAACATTTTAGGGTGACCAGCCATGTAGAAAAAACACGATACAAGCCGGCTGTGCCTTTTTTGGTGTTGAAGCGTTGAGGAACCTTCAGCTCGTCCGCGAGATCATAGACCAGTTTCGAAAACTCCTCCTTGGTAAGTGGCATACGTCTATTCGACAAATCCGTGACGTGATGCGCAAGCTGCTCCTCGTATTCAGTTGAAAACGTCTTCTTGAATCCACCGGCTTTGTGATCCAGAACGATATCCTTACCGGTTCTGAGCTAGCTGCTTGCGGGAACTGATGACCTTGACCAATGTCCAAATAATACTCTTTAACAAATTTTTGATGACCCTGAAAAGGACCGTTTTGTAGTGATGGTTGAGTAATTCTGAGCTGGGTGTTCAACACGGATGAGGCTGTCGAGCTGTATGTCGTTTGAAGCGAGGGTGACACGCTTGGCATAGATGACCCGCAGCGACTCACGAAGAGCTACTGATTCCGATCCATAGCATAGCGGTGCAGCTTCTTCCTCCTTTGATGGTTGCTTATGTGGGCTCTGCAGCTCGCTGCTTGCGGGCAGCCTTTCGTTGTTTCTGGAGAACAATTTTCAACGCCACACGCCGAAAGCACTGCTACTGCTGCAACTAATTTCGACGACCCAACACCACCACACAGTAGTGTGGTCGTTGGGAGCGTGTTGTTCTGAGTATGGCGATGAGTGTGTAAAATATTACGCAACTCCATCCTCCCTATTCGCACTCGCCCGAGGATCGAAGGCGAATGCCACTTCAACTTGTTTCGTCTACTTACTACTCTCTGACGACTGTGCTGGGGAAGCAGCATATGCATGTAGATAATTGTTGGATTTGTTAGTTAGTTCGACGCTTTTGGACAATGTTGGAAAGTTGCCAGTTTTTAATAGTTTTTTTTGTTGAAAATCAACATTCTGAAGCATTGTTATCGATGCGTAGCCATATTTTTGATCGATTGGTGATAAAATTATTGAAATTGGACCAGGGGCAGCTGAGTTATTAACGTTCAAAATCTTTCTTAATTTGTTACATGTTCCATTTTCGGTTTTCACAAAGTGTACCCCCACATAGAAATCAAAGACGTAGTCCTACGTCAAAAACTTAAATTCTGTATTATATCTAGAAACACTGGAATAAGAGACCAGCGGAGAAAAAAAACATGAATTTGGCAACAAGAAAAACATCAAAGCAATGGCATCACTTGCATTTGTAACTGCTTGCTAGTGACTTCGCAAATGAACCGACGAGCGAGTTCATGAGTGATTGTTAAACGATTTAATTGAAGCAAACCATTTGTAAACATTGCAGATTGGAACCGCTTTTGACAGTTCGATTGGAATCATAACAGTGTCTCCGCTGGTCTCTTATTCCAGTGTTTCTAATGTTGACAACTTTATTGTCCGAGCATAGAGGACAGTATGGTGTCCGGCCATGGAGGACACACAATAGTACATGTACAGAAATATTGCACCTTTAAATTTAGGAAATATTCGCGAGTAAACTTCCGCGAAATTTTCTCGTTTCTTTTTTCTTTAAAGGCTAAAACTTTTGACAGCTCTCATTTGTTTACCTTTGCTGACCGTGACGTCATAATTTGTACACGTAAAAACATACAGCTTACTATTGTTTCATCATGTCCAAATCTTATTATCACTCTTTGTTTATGGAATATCACTAGTGTCCGGCCATAGAGGCACTCCTCTGCCAAGAAGGAGGGTTGCTGAAGTCACCACCATTGGTGATGTCAGAACTGTATACTACAGTTTTTATGCTATGTTTATATTTGCATTGACGACACGTATGCGTTAAAAAATCTTATGTGAATAATCATTAATGAAATTTGAATTTTTCATGATGAGCTTGCCTAATTTACAAATTAATATAATACATATTTCATTCCTACATGTACGCGCTTGTTGAAAATTTATCACGATTATTTAGCCACGCAACAAATCATACATATATGTGGACGGAGCATAATTTCGCAATGTTTGCATCAGCTGTCTTAGATTGACAGATAATCGAGCCAAAGAACCAACAACTTTGGCTTCAAGCAAAATACTGGTTAGAGTTATTTCCCACGCCAGTTTGAAAAACCCCGTTTCGAGATAAACGCGTTTAAAGATAAAATTGGTCTCTCAGCGCGCCGGTACATGTTTTAGGCAATCGCTTCGTAAAGCGGTATATTCTGGCGGACTTGGAGTCTTTTCTAAATTAAAGTTCATTTTAAGCCAAAAAAAAAATACATTTTTTTGAAAAATCAAAGTGTACTCTCCCCTTAACGTACAGTATGTAGTCAATTATTTTAAAATTTGGTAAAATAATAATGTACACATTTTGGAAATGCGAATACGGGAAGTGCATCAGCGCATCATTATTGAAATTTGCTTCAGTTAAGTCGACAGACAGACATGGGACAGAGATCGATTAGGATCACAGCGGGAGTTCCACAAGGCTCCATACTTGGTCTAACGCTCTGGAACGGGATGTACAACGGCGTGCTAACACTGAAGCTGCCCAAATGAGTGGAGATCGTTGAATTTGCGGACGACGTCGTCTTGACGGTAACAGGCGAGACGCTGGAAGAGGTGGAAGTGTTGGCGACTGAGGTGATCGACATGATTAGCTACTGGATGCAAGAAGCGAAGCTGCAGATAGCCCACCACAAAACGGAAGTGCTATTGGCCAGTAACTGTAAAGTGGTACAACGGGCAGATATCACCGTCAGGGGCACGCCATAACCTCAAAGCGTGTGTTGAAATACCTGGGAGTGATGATCGATGACCGGCTAAACTTAAACAGCCACGTCGAATATGCCTGTGAGAAGGCTGTATACGTTGATGTTTTCACTCACTCACGTAAAGTTCTGCCGGAATCTTTGGAGAAACAATAACACCTTTATGCTGCCATCTTTCTCACGGAAGTGAGTGTATAAACAGACAAACAGTGAACAGTCAACTCTCTCACTCTCTCGTGCTGTGTCTAACAATCTCTCCAGTGGTGCCAGGATAAATCTCCGAGGAGACAAGCAGATATTCACCCCAGAGAATGATATCTCTCGCACCCGAGTGATTCTCCCCAGAGAATTTTCAACCCTGGCCATGAGTACATACCGCTGTCTTCGAGTTGCGCTAACAGGGGCTCCTTCCAATCCCACTGGAATCGACGCTTTGTCATCCAAGAAAAAAAAAAACAGAGTATTCGGAGAAGCGTCCTGAAAACCAACCAATTTAATATCTGGAATGTGTCATGTAACTTCAAAACTTACCAGCCATATCTTTCATAAACTGAAACTGTTTAGCTCCATAGTGCTGGTCCACATGGTCCAAACTTCACGTCAAATCGTCCGTAATAGCGTTTTGAAACTCGCGAATGACTGTTTCTCGGATCGAATTGCAGACGAAAATATTCGTAAGATGGAATACAATTGGACCTCGATTCAGGGAACATTTCTCCCATTTTCGTCTCGCATTTGGACATTAAATCACGCATTGATACGCATAGTGGTGAGATCCATGTCGTTTCACCGTATAGTCGTTATTAGCAAGGACCTCCGATACAGCAGCCCAGAAGTTCGAAAACTTTTCCGATTTTGCTGCCTGCGCGTGTTGCTCGAGATGTACCGCTTCCGAAACCGGAAACCCTTTCCGCAGTAGAAAATTCGAATCCATTCCTACTGTCCTGTATATCCTCCTGAGGGAGCTCTTCATCATCTGTAAAGAAAGTTTAAAAATGAAGTCTCGCAAGTTGTAAATGATCCTCTTAAGACCTACCTGTTATAGCAGTTATGATTTCGCTGACTTTACCATGTGTCCAATGGACAACGTCTCCGTATGTATGTGCCAATCG